CATTTCTGATAAGCACTAGGATCGCCCCTCTGTGCCCAGAGCTGCTGAGTGGTTTGTGAACGTGAGATTTAAACCAATTCCTCTGGTACACGTTGCCCTGGATCCAGAGCAGAGCCTTGGCTGCAGTAAAATATGAGATTATAAGTGGAAAGAGGCAATGGAGGAGCAGGGGGACTCTGCATAAAGAAGTTATCCATTCTAGACTCCTACTACTGCTCCTAAACTTCAGCGACTGATTTCTATTTTTATCTTATTTTATTTTTTTTCTCCCTAGGTTGACCTTTCACACTTGTCCCCAGAGGAGAGATGGAGGTGAGTGTGTGTTTTGAGGTGAACTGGTGCTTCCAACTCGAGTGAGCTCCTACTCGTGACCAGAGCTACCAGCAGAAGAGCAGGATGGGACAGGACCAGCCCTCCTTGTGTTATTTCTTAGGGGGAAGCATGAACTGCCTTAAAAGGCAGCATTAATGTTTTGTTTTCTTTCAAACTGCTTGCTGGATATTCCTATTTTTCCCTTAGCCAAACCAATTTCAGCCAGACACTTGTTGAAAAGCACAGTGAGTTTGGTTTTCTCTCAGGATTAATTTACAGAGGATGACTTCAGATCAGAGAATTCGATGTTATTTGTTGAGGTTGTTGTTATATTTTTTTTTTCTCCCTAGCTTGAACTGTCATGTCAGTTTAAGACCAAGATGTTGCGACGTTACAGATTTTAATTCTGCCTTAGTTTTTAGTCAAGCAGCACAAGCTGGAAAGAACCCCCAGTGTCTGTAGAGCACCTGTTTGTAAATCCCAGAATCCCAGAATGTTAGGAGTTGGAAGGGACCTTGAAAGATCATCTCGTCCAACCCCCTGCCGGATCAAAATCCCTTCTTCCAGGACGCAGTTGGGGTTGCCCAGGGCAGAGAGAAGCGATTTGCTGGCATTTTTGAGTTTCACCGGCTGTAGCTCGTGCGCCCCACACCCACTCAGCCTTTCCCTTGCTGGGCAAGAAAGAGAACGGTGCTGGTGGCTCCGAAACCGGGCTGAGGGTTTGGTCTGAGCGTGCTGAAGAGCCGCTCGGCTGATGCCGTGACGCCCGCGAGCTCCCCGGGGAGTTCTGTGAAACGCTCACCCCGCGCTCCTTCGCTCAGGTACGTCACCCTGAGTCCTCTCTGCAACTTTCACAGCTGCGAAAGCGAGCTGGGCTCGGCGA